TCCACCTAATAAAATCGACTTATTAGAGAATGATTGCCCTCACCTTATTAAGTGGATCATTTATATTTTCCCGAACAATGTGGGATTCTAATAAGGAAGATATGAATTAATTGTATTGAGTGAGACTAAGAATTTCACTTATTCAACAATTATTTAGAATAGCTCCAACAATTGCTCATTGACATAACTGGTGACCATCTTGATGGAGCCACGTCAGCCACTGTTGCTACCTCATTTCATCCACTTCCACCGGCCCCATTTTCCTCATTCCATCAAGAGCAATGCTATGAGTACATATTTTTTTCACAGAATACATACAGAATTTTGAAATGGATGAATTGGATTTAAACATTGGAGGAGGGAAAACACAAACCGACGCACAGGATTTGGCAATTCAAAAATCAGTAAAAAATCTGGCATGTTTTCCTGTACTTAAGGAATTTTTCTTATATATATTACACAAACATTAACTCACTGGGGGCGGGTGAACAGACAGATATTAGCATTTTCTTTTTCCTGTACTTAAGGAATTTTCCTTCCATCAACTTCAATTCCTACTAACAAGAACATTCAAAGAATTGAGAAAGAAATAAATAAATTCTCTTCAAAAATCCAAGTCAACGATAGTTGCAAAGACTTCCCCACCTACCAATGGGTGAGGGTTCTGTAGGTCCGGGAAGATAAATATTTTTGCGAACTAACGGATTTTTCCTTTTCTAATCATTCAAAGTTTAAAAGACCATTTTGCCATTTTTTGAAATTAGTCACATTGTGATCAAACACTGACTTTTGGTCAACAAACGTGCCTTTGGATGGAAACCTTTCGAGGTCCTTCCGTCTGACACATTTTTGAAGGTTATGGGACATTTGCTACAATTTTCCCAGCAAAAATACGTCCATGTTTGGTTTAACTAAAAATTAAATTTTCAGTACATTTTAATAAAATTTGATAAATGTGCACATGAAAAATTGATAAAACATTATGGTTCCATGTAATGTTGTTGCCTTTGTATAAAAGACCACGAGCAACAACTAGAGCTAGTCGACAATTTAATTTTAGTGGAAGAGTGTATAAAACTTTGGGAGCCGCTCTCTTTCCATGTATGAAAATGTTTCATTTGTTAA